TATACGCATGCTCATTACTTAGGAAGTTAATAAATAAATATTGATTATTTGAATAGACAAAAAACTTATATAAAAAAATTAAACCAAATTAAAATTATATAAATAATAATTTAAAAAATCAGGTTAGACTGGATTAGATTAACTAGTCTGAGGGGCCAGTCCTTAGTCCAGTCCAGCCCGATGAGACTAGTCCGGTCCAGTCTGGTCCAGTCTTGTTTTGAGCTAATTTTTTCTGGACCAGACTAGACCGGGTTTGCTTGGATTGGACCGGACCATACCGGACCACCGGGTTTTTGCACAGCCCTAATGATCACAAAGCCTCAAAAAGGAATTGGGAAACGTGAGGTCCGAGAATCAGTAAATGCCAAAAGCTGATCAACCAAGATTATGGGTAAACTAAATCTACAAGATAAATCACATATTCATGAGTTTTGCAGTAGCCATGGTTCAAAACGACCATTTTTGTTAAGCAGTCCTTTTAATAAGATGAAGTAAACACGATAGAATTAGCAGAAAACTAAATGACAGACGGAAGGGAAAGAAAGATGGAAGAGTAAAATTCAACGACTAAAATTTTTAGTTGGTTGGGCTTTTTGAAGCAGTGATTACTATTGTTAGATCAATTGACTATTGGATGATTAGATCATTGATTATACACTACCTCCGGTTTTTAATATAAAATCCTGTTTGATTTTATTTTGGTCCTAAATATAATACCCCAATTCATTTTTGTCTCTCATATTTATATTTTTTTTCCAAAGTAACCCTTCTAATAATGATAGTTCTAGTTAATAAACTTGATTAGTAAAGATATTTTAGGAAAGACAACACCTATTTAGGACAAATAACTAACTCAACTTACTTTTTTAATCTCCTCAAATTAGTCAACTAACTCTTATAATTAGAACTGGAAGTAGTATTTTATAAAGAAACTAGTGGGAGTACCATTTGCTTGAGATGTTTTCACCTCTCTTTTCAAGGGTAATTTGAATGCTGTTTCAGCTTTTATATTTCTTGAACTATTGTTGCTTCAACCAAATGAAGAAACCAAGTAACCAACTTGAGTGAAATAATTCTCAATTTCTGATACCTAATTTCAGTGTTGATTAGGTCATAATATGTTGTATATGAGTTAATACCATTTGTAGTTCTAAAATTTGACTGCGTTCCATCTTTGAAATTTAAACTAATGGTTTTAATTTTTAAAATTTGATTTCATTTTCGTTCATTAAAAGATTTTTTGTTTTCGAGAGTGTTTTCAATCTTTTAAACTTTTGGTTTCAAATTTTAAAGACTAAAATCAAAATAATATTAATGTTTGAGGATTAAAAATTGTATTGACTCTATATACAGAGAGAGAGACAGAGCCATCAAAAGTAGAGGAAGGTAGGGGGCCTTTGAGAACACCGAAAAGTTCTGTAAAATAAAACAAACTCATCCATATATTTACTTTATATACCGTAACAGTATTTTTAAAACCATGATTTAATTTCTATTTAAATACCTCCGAGGAAAGAGGACCATTCTCCATAATTATTGCTCATTTCCGTCTCTGTCTTTGGTGGGTTTTGATGGGTTAATTCCATTAGTGGTTAACTGGAAAAGGACCATTCTCCATAATTATTGCTCATTCCCGTCTCTGTCTTTGGTCCTTCTCCTTAGCTATCTGCTGCTCACATCCACTCTTCTTCTTCAATTGGCTCAGTTTGACGATGACTGTTCCAACCTTCTCGTTGTCTTTGCATTCAAATTTAAATTTCTATCCGATCCTCCCAGGGAAAAAAATGAGGACCAAAGAAATCCAAAGCTACATTAATATGCTACAGACAAGCTACAAGTTCATCGTTCGCAGCAACAATAGAAAATCACATGATTCGGATCGCCCTATTTTGATTGCACTTCTTTACTTCCACGAGCTTCCTCTTTCCCTTGACCCGTTTGTCAGTCTAAGATCGCAATTTATTATATATGCGCTTGGACCCCCGTAACTTAAGTATACGTGGGCCCTACTTCTTGTGGCACACCCCCCCACAAAAGTATAACATTCACATGAATATTATATATATATATATATATATATAATATAATATGATTTGTGAAGGTATATGCAAACCTGAAGCTTTTTCTTATAGGGCATTCATCATTTAACGTCACATTTATATATTGGGAAATTAGGAAATTATGTAATGCACGAGACATCCTTTTTAGTTTAGATTATTTAAATCATATTTAGAGAGTTAATTTCTCTTGTAATGTTAATATATTTATAACTCTAAAATGAACGAACATGAAATTAAAATTTTTTAAAGATAATTAATTAAAAATTTCAATAATATAAATTTAAACAGTTTAAACAGCACGTTCATTGTTCGGAAGATCCGTGAATGAATGTGGTTTGTGGGACATCAAAAGGTCTGGTTTGATGGTTTCATCATCACGAATCTGACGGAGAAAGGGTCCCACATATTTTTACAAGGTTCACTCGTCGTATCCCAAGTCATTCAATTCAGAAACCAAGGATGATGTTGATGATTGCGATGAAGAACAAGACAAGTTGGTAGCATTTGTTACTATTTGGTCGGGAATACCTTTTTCTTTTTTTTTTTTGTGAGGTCGAAGATAAAACAAACAATTAAATATATAGTCTAATTTATATTTCAACATAATATTAACACAGTGATTAAATTTATTTATATCTTAAATTTATTTGTATTTTTTAATTTTACCCTTAACTAAATGTTAGCCCCCATCTACAAATAACCAAATGACCTATTGGTTAAAAACAATAGATATATAAAAATACAGCTCATAAATAAAACAGACCATCTTAACCTCTTTTTTTTTTTATGTATAGATAGCATGCTATGGTATTTTTTTAGCTTTAGTAAACACACCCTGTTAAGGAAGAGTATGGGTAATTTAAATCATTCATAAGAGATATAAAAAAAATTTTAATCATTTCTAAAAGCTTATAATGTGATTTATAATTAAGCACACAAGCACTCCCAAAAATTGATTCTCACCACGGGAATGGAGGGAGTAAATCAATGTTGATTTATATAAATGTAAATATTATTGTTTTGTTTTAAGGTTCGGCCGCAGCAACACAAATGTAAGTTAATTACTATAATTGAATGATGAATAATTTATTATTAAAAAATTTACTTAGACATAATGGCACTAGAAAGTGGAAACTTGCTTTCCGACGCTCCTACTAGGTGGGGTGATAATTGCTATCTATGCTTGAGAAAACAGCAATACCTATAAATCTATGAACAATAATCTACACACGCCATTATGAATTATGAGTGCTGATTCATTTTAGCTTCTGCCTTTTTTCTTTTTTTAACCTAAAACTAATAATAATATTATTATCGGTTTTTAATATAAGAGTTAGTTTTATTTTTAATTTAATCTCTAATATAAGATTTCAATATAATTTATCTCTTATATTTATTCATATTTTTTTAAATAACTCTTATAGTAGTTATACATGTTAAAAGTTCCGTCAAATAGTAGTTCTACCTAAAATGTACATGATTAGTAAGAGTACTCTAGAGAGAACGACACATATTATTACAAATAACTAACTTACTAATTTTTTTAATCTACTTTAATCAGTTAATTAGCTTTTATGTTAAGGATAAAGTTTCGTCAGGAAAAAAAAATTGAATTAATAAATTTAGAGGGGCTTAGTTTGATGATGGTGATTGGAGGAGCAAGATGGTGAGGCCAACAAAGAAGCACGTATGAGCAAGAGAGAGTGAAGTTTCAACATAATGTAAAACTAAACATAGAAGGAGAAGAGAGAGGAAGCATTAAAAGGGACAAGTCAAGTGCACGTTACTTTCAAGCAAATGTGTGGGGCTTTCACTTTAACCCCTTTGGTCTCCTTCCTCTGCTTCTCCTGTTCTCTCTAAAAAAGACAACTCTGTGTTACTTCCTCACATCATTCTTCACCCTCCACGCTACTTTCTCCCTCTACTTGTTAACCTCATACCACACCTATTCTTATTATAAGTTACCCCTAACTATTTTACCCAAGTTAAGAAGAGATGGTTAAATTGTTAATTTTGTTTAAAATAAAAAAATCAATTTACCCTTATTTAAAACTATGAATTGTAATCTTACAAAGCAAAAATGAAAATTATATCAAATTTTACGTAAGGGTGATTTTGAATATGAATATATATAGCGCCTTATTTAGTGACGTATAGTAAGGATCACCATTTATTTCATAAAGTATCTTATAATAAGAACCGGATTTGCATATCATAATTTCATATTAAGAAAATAAAGAGGCAGTCTTGTGCACAAGACGATGCATGTCATAGATGTTTAAGAGCAATATATAACATGTTTTCTATGTTTCCAAAATATGCTTAATTTTAGAAGATGGAAGCTAATTATACAATACTTGTATACATGACCTTTTTATGGTTATTTTGAAATAATATCTTACTATTTTTAAAAGATGAAAGAATTGTAATTTTAGTAAAATTTAAAAATAAATATGTATGTTGAAAATGAGGGGAAAATACCCATATAATTTTAATCAAAATAGAGTGAAATTTATGTAAAATTTAAAAAATAGAAGAACTTCATTTAACGTGAAAAAATGATATGTTCTGAAAATAACTGAAAAATAACATATGATTAATTTCAATAAAAGTCATGAGAAAATTACGTATTTATAAAAACACACACATTTTGTATACATGTCGTAGAAATTAATAGAAATATATAAATTAAGAAAAATCAATAAAATGTGTAACTTACCTTTACATTTACTTATAGGATTTATTTTATGCGTGTGAAGGTCACATCAATTGTTAAAATTAATTTTTTTCCATCACATGTATTTAAGAATTTATTGTCCTAATCACCTAAACCACATGAACTTGTCCAAGAACTCAAACCACTGTCAAATTTTTAGAACCCCAAATGGCCAAATCACATCATGACAAGCTCTGATTGCTTAATTGCACATTACAAGCATCTTCTTCCATCCATTGCTGCTTTATTCAAACCACAACATCCCATATATATAACACCAAACACACCATACTAGAGACTGAATAGCTGCCAATAAAGCAACATCTACAACAAACATATCCACAAAAAGACTAATGAGAAGCCAACTTATTCCCACTATCTTACAGGAAAAAAAGCTTCACAAGGAAAAGAAACTGCACTACTATTTCTGATACTCCATTGTATTTTTTGTACATTCCAATCTGCCAAAGTGAAAGAAACAAAGGAGTCAACAGAGAGATAGATTAGAGATATATATACCCACACACACCACACTAATTCTAGCTTAGATTATTTAACTTAAATCAAAAAAGCGTATCATTTATGGGGTTGATGTTGAACCGCATGATTAAAGTTAGGTGCATTGAATGTTAGTACAAACTAATCTATAATTGTCCAGGTGTTGGTGGCTTAATGCTTCAAGAATAAAGATGTCACGGACCATAATAAAAAAAACCGTATCGTTTCTTTTAAACTTGAGTAAGTGCATATTAGATGAACAAGTACAGCATCATTTCTGAGGTCATAAACTCAAAAAAGGGATTAAAAAAAGTCAACAGAAATGATAAACAATGTTTAATTGAAAGATTCCACAAGTTAGTGATTTTTATTTTTTTTTCCCGGCCAGTTTAACTACCGGTTTTAAATTAGTCTTGGCAATAGTGAGCTGTTCTTATTTCAAATAAACTTTGGTGGAAAGGGGAATACACATGGCAGAAAGCAAAACCACTCCACAATCATGGCTGGCTGCAGCACTAAGCAGCCTATGAACTAGTTCTAAACATTACCTAACTGAATGCTGAGAAATTCTTCAAGTTAAAAGGAGATAGAGTTTAAATTTTTGGCCAAGTTAAACTGAGAATTTATACCTTAACGTGCTTGCTAAGAGTGAAGATTCTCATTCAGCTCAAATATTTCAGGGGTTGGTGAAAGCGATGTTTAAGCACCGGCGATTGACCAATTCCCAGGGAACGCTGATCCGATTCCAGCCTCTGTAGTCCATCTGGTTGAGGAAGTTTGAATAAAAGCTTCGGCTCGCACATTAACCTCTTCGGAAGTCATGGATATGTCCCTCCGAAGCGACGCCGCGTCGTTGAAAGTTTCAGATTTTGTCACTTCTTTGCGAGCCCAGCCACTGGGTCGTCTTCTCCATCTTCATTGTCCCGAAACGGCTCTGCTTTCTCAATCCTCGCACCGCAAATGTCGCTCTTCTTCAGCTGCGGCACCTTCGTCTTCTCCTGCCCCTTCATGATAGCCTTCCACGTGGCATCTAGCGTGTCATCGGCGTCCGGCGTCGCATAGTCGTTGGCACATTTTTCCGGTGGTGGGTCGGCGCAGGATTTGCGGCAGGAGGAAGCAGGGTCGTCAAGTACTGTTTTTTCTTCTTCTCGGGGTCATTGCTCTGCTGGCTTTCAGGCTCGGGTGGGTGGTCTGGGATCAAGTCTGGAACGAACGACATATCAGATTCAGTCATGACATCGTCGCGGCGGCGGAGACGGTCGTTGTGTGCTTAGGATCGGCGGGTGGGGGATCGTAAAAAGGGACAGTTTTGATGATGAGGAGGAGCAGGAGGTTGACGATGAGGAACACGAAAACAGGGGAAAGGGAGGTTTTTGCAGAAACCAAAAGACTTGGAAAAGTTGATAGAAGGAGATCAAAAACACAAGGGATTATAGCCACTTTCAACAAAACCAGAATGGATTAAACCCCATGGACATGAACACAATCGAAGCAACCTTTGATGGGTGTCGAAAAAGATCCATCTTTGGAGAACAAGACAACTAAACCAGAACTAATTATTTTCTGCTTAGGGAGGGTGAGACGTGAGACGAGCACAGCGATACCCAGAATCAAAAGTCTGGGATGAGGAATGAAACAAAGAAGCAAGAATTCTACGGGAATAAAAAGAACAGAGAAGGAAACTCTAGGAACTGGGGCGTGCTGATTGATTAGTGATACGAAGGAGGAGGGAAAGGAATGCATCAAAAGAGATAAGAAAGAAAGTGGGGTTTGGGAGGGAGAGTAGAGAGTTAGAGTAATGAGTTGTGAGGGGTGGATTAGTGAGTCAGGGAGAAAGGTAATCAAAGAGGGACAGGGAAAGCGGGGGAGGCTGAGAGCAGAGGACCACGCTATGAGATGACGATTTTATATGAGCAACGAAGCTGCACAGTCATCGTGGACACGGCCAAGCTTTGATTTGTAATTTAGGGACAACTGGGTGGATCCCCGATTGGAAATTCAGTTAGCAAATAAAATAATATAGGACTCATTATTGAGTTGGTTTCGGTTTTCAATATAAGACTTATTTTTCATATTTATCAATTTTTTTTAAATTATCCCAATAAATACTCCCTCAACATAATCAAGTAGAAGAAAGATGAAGTGTTAAGAAAGATGATTGTGGTATTTTAGAAAAAATGTGTCACATTTCTTATAATTAACTAACTCGCCTAACTTTTTTAATCTAATCAAATTAGTTAATGAGTCTTATATTAAAGACCAGAAGAGTAGTATCTGAGTTGCACAAAAAAGAAAGTTATATAAAAGAAGTTGAGTTTCATATGGAAAGATAGATGTACAAGATATTATTTGGATACAAAAAACTAATTTATACACAGGAAAAAAATTAAAGACATACAAAAAAGTTCAGTTACACAAAAAAAAGATTTAATATAAAAAAAGTTAAGTTATACTCAGAAAAAATTAAATTGCACAAATACTTAGGTATTATTTACTAATTAAATTCTCGACGAAAGATTTTTTTTCCTTCACAATTCTCCCTGTAATTTAGTCCTCCGTCACTGTTTGAATATATGAATTCAATTTTTTTAAAAATATTCCGGTCAGAAACAATAATTGAATTTTATTAATATATTAACCAATTAACTTGGATCTTAATGCTGGAAAGTTCTCGGTTTGTTTTTAAGGTTATTATACTCGTCGTCCTTATAAAAACAAATAGGGAATATTTTTTTAGTATAAATTACCTTTTCACGACAAGTAATAAGTAATTTTAGTAAATTAAATTTGTTCTATCCTCATTTAATGCTCATCGTAGGGACGAGCACCATGATACTTATCGCTATAATATAATCTAAACCATCTAAATCTGATATGCATAGTTTATATTTAAAATTTTTAATATACAATTTTCTTTAATGATAAGTTCATTTTTAAAAAAATGTTAATTATAAGATTATATTTATTTTAAATTCTGTATGTTTAAAATAAAAAATTAATTAAAATATATAAAAATTTTAAATTCAATCTTGGACCATCTAAAATCAATCTGGTTAGTTCAAATTGTGATGAGCACCCCATACTCATCATTCCAATAATCATGGAATGTACTCAGAAATTAAAAGACCTTTGGTCTTAATTTTTTATTTTATACTACTACTACTATTATTATTATATGGTCTTAGGTCATCCTCTTATGTGTTAGAATTTTTTATATTTTTAATTTTTCATCCTTTAAGTTTGTTCTCAGTTTGATTTTGATCTCTCAAGTTTTAAATCACATGTTTTGATCCTTCAAGTTTCTTTTCATTTAAAATATTAATCTCTATAATTCAATAAAACATAAACTATTTTGTCCCAAAAGATCAAAACTTATGATGTGAAATTTGAGAAACTAAAATTAAAATAAAAACAAACTTGAGAGATAAAAATTATATTAACCCTTTAATTAATTAAAAAATTAGAGAAATTAAGTGAAAAAACTAATACTTTAAATAAAATATGTTATATTGAAATACAAACTTCTCATACCAAGGAGAGGATTGGAGGGAGAGCGTATTAAATTATTAATATGAATCAAGACAAGTTTCATGCATTTATACAAACTTAAAAAAATGGGAACATTTACGACCTATCATCGTGTTCTACTTTTTCTCATTATTTTGTATAATTAGAATAAATAATTAAATTTTAAAAAACCAAAAAAAGAAAAAGAAACACAAGAAGAATAATAAGAAGAAGAATGGACGGCTATAAGTGGCGCGGGACAGATCGCAAGAAATGCGGAGCGGATTGGCCTCACTTATCACAAAAGAACATGTGGCTACGTCCGCCCATATGAACCTAACTTGATTAACGACGTGTGCTCTCATTATCAAATGCGACTTTATAATTTTTGAACTTTAACTCCAGCTTCCTCCCAGATATTAAACCCAAAAAAAACAGATTATGTTTTTTTTTTTGAAATATTTATAAAGTAGATCAGTGTGGATATTAAATATTTTATCACTGATGTATTTAAAATCAATTTTGCATTTCTCAAACATTTATTGAATAAGGAGTCACTCTGTCAACTGTTATTTTTAAACATACATATTTTATAACTTAAATTCTATATATACTATCTCCGGTCCTATTTATAAGAACTAGTTGACTAATTTGAGGAGATTAAAAAAAAGTTAAGTTAGTTATTTGTAATAAATAGGTGTTGTCTTTCCTAAAATATCATTACTAATCAAGTGTATTGGCTAAAACTATTATTGTTAGAAGGACTATCTTGAAAGAAAAATACATAAATATGATAGAAAAAGCGGATTAGGATTTTATATTTAGGACCAAAATAAAAGTCAAACGAGGTCTTATGTTAAGAACCAAAAGTAGTATAAGCAAAAAAAAAAAACAGAGAACAACTCAGATATAATAAAAGTTTGAAGATACCTTCAGTGAAAATATTTAATATGAATAAAACGGCGCAATATAATATATGTCTGTGTGTGTGTTCTCACATCTATCAGCTAGTCAATCTTGAATACGAGTTCTTCAAAAATGGATAGATAAGATATTTATTTTCAAAGTTTTAAATACAAATTGAAGACACTTTTATCCCACCACCAGAAAAAAAAAAGAGATTATTGGGTTCTTTAAAATAATTTTAAACTTTAAGATATTTTATATCTAAATTAATATGTCGATCCAAGTCTTAATCGTTCAATCAAGAAAGTTTAAATAATAAAATATGACATAATTACTAATGAGAGTTCCCATGGCAGTCTTACGAATTATAGAAATGATGGATATTGACCGTTTTAAAAGCAATGCGTGCGACTATTTCTTTTCTTTATTTTATAAATAGAGTTTTGAATGTTTCCAATTTTAATTTCTATTTCTTTTACTCAACCCCTTCCCCATCCTAAAGCTAATTAAGAATTTTTGGTTTCTTCAACTTTTAGGGTTTGTATTCTGTTTCGGCTTTTGGAATATTTTCATTTCTGTCTTAAGTATTCGAACCCTTCTTTCTTTAAATAAAATATTGAATTAAGATTAAGTGATTAAATAAAATAAATTGAATCTTTCCCATTTATGCATTTCAAAAAGTTGATATGAAAGAATATAATATAATAATATTTAAGGATCTATACATATATTAATTATACATATGTATGTATCATAGTCACACTATAATCATTTTTTCCTTGCTATATTTCTCCCAGTATAAATGTGAAGTGTTTTGAGCAAAAGGATTCTAAAGAAATAAATAACATTCTTCAAATGTCATTTTGTTGGTTTAATTTTGCTTAATGTAACCTAATTAATAATATCATTATGTACATATTTTCACGAAACTTTTTTTTTTTGGCTAACCCACGAAAATATATATATATATATATAAGCAGCAATTTTTTCCTACTTAATCAATATATGATGTGTCCATTAGAGCTTTCGTGTTTCTTAATGATAATGTAGCTTCGGTAATTTATGTAGCTATCTCTTTCATGCATACGTATTCACTCTTATCCTCATGAATTTTCAAAGCAACGCAAAAAATAAATAATATTAATCACTGTCAAAAATATAATATTCACCAAAGCAGCTAGCTAGCATTGCTCATGGATTTTTTTTATTTTTTTAAATTCATCGTATTACTTTCATGACATAAATTAACTTGTAACTAATGTAACGACATCAGAAAAGATACTTCAAATTTGACAGAAAAATAAAGTGACTAAAAGAAAAGGAAAAAGAAATATTATGATA